TTCGACTCCAACCTTGTAATTTGGAAATTACAATATCTAATTCGAAATAACGATTTTGAAACCCGAAATTGCGAGTTGAATCTCGAAATTTCGAAATTACGAGTTTGAACTCGAAGTTTTGACTTCTATTTCGAAATTTCGACATAAAACTCGAAATTACGACGTTGAAACTCGGAAATATGGTTTCAATCTTGAAGTTTTGACTTTCATCTTGAAATTCTGACTTTATTTTCTTAAACTCATGTCAACACACAAATGATGAATAAGGAAAAATCACAGAACAAGATTGTTTCTATATCTCCGCCATTATCTGAATTTCAGGGTGTCAAATTATTGGGTTTTACTCTGTACAATAGGCTAAATTGGTCAAGCCATATATCAAGTTTAAAAAGTAATCTATCGAGTGCCTTATTTTTACTTCGGCAGTTGAAACTAATAACCAATTTCACTACGTTGAAAAAGTATTTTGCTCAATCATACAGTCTCTCATTTCTTATGCAATTAAACTTTGGGAAAATTCTAGTGACGCCCAATGCATTTTTATATTACAGATAAAAGCTCTGAGAATTCTTGCTGGAATTGGTTTTGGGAATTCTTGCCGTGAATCATTCATCACTTATGAAATTACGTCGGTACCTTCTTTGTATGTTCTGTATCTGTAGAGTAGGGAGGGTGGGTGTAGGCCCACTGCACTTAGGCTACATGTGACCCATTGTACATCCTCCCGAGGAGTTGTCCTCCTAGGACATCGTCCATCTGGTACTTTCCAGGAAGGTGGACAGGTCACTAGGAGACATCTCCTTTATATCGGCAGCTGGAGGCCAAGACTCGCCGAACACACACTTTCTTATTGACGATAACTTCAGACATTCGCATAGGACATGCCTGATAGTTTCATCTTCCTGTTCACAGATCCTGCATAGAGGTGTGTTCACTAGTCCCATATTGTGGAGATGTTTCCTCAGTGTGATGTTTGGCTAGTTCTGCAATTGTCGAAGTCCCAAAATTCTTAGTCCAGCCGCTTCCTTGGCTAAAGAGTCGGCAATGCGATTACCTTCACACCTGTCGTGCTCTTTATTCCACCTCAGAATAATGTTATTATCAACCGAGGCTTTGGAAAAATCTTGGTGGCACTCTAGTACTAGCCCTGAGGTTACACGTTGTATGTTCAAGGCTAATAGGGCTTGTCTGCTATCAGTGCAAATTGTTATGTTTCTGCCAGACATTCCTTTTCTGGTTATTTCTTTTGTGGCGATTCAGATACCAGCCAGTTCTGTTTGAACCACCCTGGTATTTTTTCCTATCCCCCACTTAAGCCTTAGGCTTAGTGATATGGAGTACACTCCACATCCTGAGCCTTCTTTGGTTTTTGAGCCGTCTGTATATATGCGTATTGCATTTGTAGCATCTAACTCTGTGTTCTGTTTTATTTGTATTTTGTAGGGTTTATCAAACACAAACCTGGGTTTAACTGCATCACTGGTTGCGTGCGGCAGAGGTTGGCAGTAAGCGATTCTACCCATGGCTCAGCCTCAATTGACCCATTCCTACAACAGTCGTGCGCAATCGTAACATGGCCATTAACGCAACCTCCTAAAGTACAGGTCCAGAGGGGTCAGACCAGTAATTAAATCCATTGCCGCGGTTGGTGTTGTTCTCATGGCTCCTGTAATTATTAAAAATTCCAAGCTTTGTATGTTTACTCAAGCCTATTAGATATTTACAAAAGCCCTTGTTTCCCAAGCAATCCAGTTTACACAACCATGATACACGTAACAGCAATTTCATTAGACCTCAACGTTACAGACTGATGAAATCACAAATAAACTCCTATGATTTCAGATTGTATAACACACTTCCTGCCAATATTAAAAATATGAATATGGTTTTGTGAAAAAAAATATTAAAAAAAACTGTTTTTATTCCACTACAGAAAATTTAGAACATGCTCATAGACACACATAAGGAATATGCTTGCCGAACCTCCATACTTAATTTGAATATACAGTGTTTAAAAGCCAAATGAAATAAATTTATTATTTCGGTTACTGAACATATTTTACAAAATCCCGAAAGACATCAAATTTAAATTATAATTTGACATACTTCAACGGAAAAATGCTACCTCCACTTGCAACCACCGTCGAATGACGGAATATAGGCTTGTGATATATCGTTTGGAAGGTATCTCCATTCTCTATTCGAAAATGTTATCGCTTTCAAGTTTATTGCAACAATTGGGGTGAAATAAATTAAAATCATGTGGTTACCAAAATTCGATAAAATACACTCAAGATTAATTACCATGGCAACGTTAGCCTAAAACGCCTTCTCAACTTGTTTCGTATGTTACAACATTAGGTGTAGGTATTTTAATATAAGTTTAAAGTTTGTTAACTTCAAGCCAAATGATTGGTTACGGAGATAAAACCCGAACACAACAGAAAGTAGCTCGACTATTTCATGAGAAATGTTCTAATTTATCGTCCGTTTCTCAAGGAACAATAAACAAAATAGAGAAGCAGTTTTGCGAGTTTGTGTGGCAGAAAAAACAGCTGCCAATGCAATGAGTGATGAACTCAAATTAGATGTGATGTTTGAGTTTGAGGAAAACCCACATACATTGAGTAGACAGGCTTCCACTACATTTAATGTTAGCCATACATCGATAGTAAACATATTAAAAGAAAATAAAATGCATCCCTATAAAATGATACCTACTCAGGAGCTCATGGAAGACGATTTTGATAGAAGACCTTATTTTTGATAGTAAATGATGGACATGTGGGATAACAATATCATCCAATTAGGTCATGCTAATCGGCAAAATTGCCGCTACTGGTCAATGGAAGATCCTCACTGGATGAGATAAGAACACACCCAATACCCTCTAAAGGTTAATCTGTAATAAATATAACAACAATAATAATAAATTTGATCTTCAGAAACATACAGTTTATAGACACGCCAATAAGAAATAAAATTTGTAACTAGTTAAAATTAAGTGTTAATATTAAGATTAAACATAGATACATACATGTGAGACTATTAGTTTAGGTTGGGTTTATGACTGCTCAGCGAGTATACGTCATCAAGCCCCCGTTTATCACACAAGTTTCATATTCCTCTAGCGAGTAGAAAGCGTTGTCCGTCAAGAAGAGTTTTATATTTAACGTATACCTACATGGTTGCACATTATATAGTTTGTAGTTGAGTGAGTTTTTGGAAGATTTCGCAAGTCTATATCTGGGTACTCTGATTTTATTGGTTCCGCGGGTATTGTGTTCGTGTACAGCGGATTGCAGAGTTAAATTCAGTATTTCCAGTAGTGTATTTCCAGTAGTGTGCTCAAAATAAAGAGATATGGAAGGGTCATAATTTTCAGTGCTTTAAGAAGTAGGCAGGGATTGTAGGAAATCATATCATTGGCACCTTTTTCATTGAGAGCAACTTGAATGGCGATAATTATTTGGCACTACTTCAAAATGATGACATTTCAAGTTTAGCTATTGGATCTATTGAATGGCCAGCGCGATCACCTGATCTTTCATCATTAGATTTCTTTTTATGGGGATATGTAAAGAGCAATGTGTACAAAACTAAACCTTCTGATTTGAATGACTTAAAAGAACGAATAACGCTTGCGATTAGGTCGGTCACGTCTGATATGTTAAATAATGTTGCCAAGACGTTCGCGGTGAACATTTTGAACATCTACTTTGTTAAAATCCATAGTTCTTTTTCATTACGTTTTGCATTACATTTCAGTTTTTGAGCGTATTTTAACGAATTTTGGTAACCACATGATTTCAATTTATTTTATCTCAATTGTTGCAATAAAGTTGAAAGCGATAACATTTGCGAATAGAAAATGAAGAGGCCTTTCAAACGATCTATCACAAACTTATACTTCCCATTTAAAAAGTTGGGGGTTATACCTGTCATTCGAAGGGGGTTGAAAGTAGGGGTGACAGTTGAAGAATATTGAATTACAATTTACATTTGATGTCTTTCGGAATTTTTTTTTTCAAATATATACAGTAACCAAAATAATGAATTTATTCCATTTATCTTTTACACACTGTATGTTGAAATGTACTTTGTAAGCTTATTACAAAATTTACTGTTTTTTTAANTAGATCTAGAAGGATCTCCATGGCCGCTGACGGTGTGGTACTGATGGCACCAGTGATATTCAGACAAGCCTGTCTCTGTAAGCCAGAGAGCTTTGCTTGGGCCGTTTTTTGTAAAGCCTTCGGACACCAAGCAACTGCTCCATAAATTATCATTGTTCTCACAATCATCACGTGAATCCAATGGATTTGGTTGGGACCTAAGCCCAAGTTTTACCACAAATCCTTCGACATGTCCATAGAGACAGTCTGACTTTGTGTAAAACTTTTTCCAAGTGAGCGTTCCAGGTGAGTCCAAATGGAATGACCTCACCATTGAGGTAAATTGGCGTTAGATTGTCCAATTTTCTCCTCTCAGTGAAGGGTATTAACATAGTTTTGCTGGGGTTGACAGACATCTGTTCCCTTAGGCACCACAAGCTACCCTTCACGACGTGGACCTTGCCAGGATGACAAGGTCATCTGCATAAGCTTGCATCAGGAGCGACCACTGAAGGAGAGATAGTACCCTAACTTGAAGGCAGCCTCTGGTAACCCTGAACCTGATGGCCTCTCCTTGAAGAGTCGTAGTTGTAGTTCTGTTTATTAGCATGCCATAGATCCAGCCAGAGAATACCTTACGTTCAGTACAAGATATCTATCTCAACAAAGCTTCAAATGTATCGATCTTCTTGTAGAGAATCTTGGAATTCTCATCTATAACTGACTGATTTTCCGAATTAGTCTATGACTTGGACATCATTTTATTATTTTTAGGATTACAGGTTCACAGGTACAATGCTTTCATTATTTTCGTTGAAAAAACTTTTTCAAAATGATAATATAATTCTGATCTGAGATCCTCAATGAAAAATAAATTTTTTACAGCGTTTTCTGCCAACATCGGTCAAAAGTGGGTTAGAGTGAATGTTCCTCAGTATCGAATGCCAGGCGAAACAGCCATGCTGCAGTGTGATTACGACTTAGGAAACGATACCCTGTATGCTGTCAAATGGTACAAAGAGCATGAAGAGTTCTACAGGTTCGTCCCCAAATCACGACCGCAAGCCAACTGGTATGAAGTGGAAGGCGTTCACGTGGACGTAAGTGAATTTGTTCTCTGAAATTTCATATCCTATTGTATATTTTATGATATGATTTGACCTGGCAAAGAACATACTGAAATCAATTGACAACACTTGAAATGGGATTATGTCTGCTGATCTACGTTTCTGAAAATTCAGATCTTTTTCCACTTTCCGTAAAAATTTTTTTCTTCTCCGTTATATCTATGCTTTCATAGAACACAACAGTGTATCGTAAGCGATATCCCGATTTCGTCGTGGATTTTTCTCCACTTAAATGTTTCTTACTTCCTCTTGACCACCACAATATGGTTAGATTTGATCCTTACTTTCATTCTCTAGTCTGGATGATAATCAGAACGTATGGAATATAGCTTAAATTTTTTGCACAAGCGGCAGAATTCAGAACCCTTGTTAGTTAGACCCTGCTAACTTGATGAAAGAACTACTGAATTTTATGGACCATAATGGACGAAAAAGTAATAGGAGATGCGTACAATAGGAAAATCCTTGAAAATTATGATACAGTTAAACCTCTCAATAGAGGCTACCCTCAATCAATTGCTCATCTGGATTTTTTTTGGACAAAAAACACAAGCACTACAGAAAAATCCCCAAAGCGCTCTCAGAGCGGTTCCTGTTCGAAAGTAGCGATTCACATTGGATTTAAATCGCTGAAGATTGAATCCATTTGAAAAAACGTTTTCAGGAAGTTTATTCCACATAAACGTAGTTCTCCAGATAAAAGAGTTCTAAAACAGTGAAGTTCGAAGTGTATTGAGTTGGATCTCAAAACGATGAGCAGCCATAGTCAATCGCGTATTTCTGATATGCACCGCTTTCGGTGAAATCAAATGTGTCAAGTCACTTGAACACTTTCCGTGGAAGTATCTATAGAAGAGAGAGCTGTGTATTCAGGAGTTAATATAGTAGTAGTTACTGTATTCTCTAAGGTGGCTCACCCCTAAAACCCTTTTATTATTGGAGATAGCAAAACTAAATTTTAGGGGTTGTGTGTTATAGTTCAATTTAATTTTTTTGACATATTGACTTGCTTTTCCGTTCTTCCGATTTGATCGGAAATGACCCCAACTTTCGATTTTTAAATGGGACATACTATATATTTTTACTTATTTCGATCGAGAATGACATTCTGAATCCAACAATACTTAACTTGTCAATTTTTGACAAATAAATAATTTTTATTCCAATTTTAATATTTTGATCTAGAATGTCATGGATCGTGTCAATCGCTTCATTCTTGATCAAGTAACATGGGAAAACTACGACTTTGGGGCTTATATCTATAACTGACTGATTTTCCGAATTAGTCTATGACTTGGACATCATTTTATTATTTTTAGGATTACAGGTTCACAGGTACAATGCTTTCATTATTTTCGTTGAAAAAACTTTTTCAAAATGATAATATAATTCTGATCTGAGATCCTCAATGAAAAATAAATTTTTTACAGCGTTTTCTGCCAACATCGGTCAAAAGTGGGTTAGAGTGAATGTTCCTCAGTATCGAATGCCAGGCGAAACAGCCATGCTGCAGTGTGATTACGACTTAGGAAACGATACCCTGTATGCTGTCAAATGGTACAAAGAGCATGAAGAGTTCTACAGGTTCGTCCCCAAATCACGACCGCAAGCCAACTGGTATGAAGTGGAAGGCGTTCACGTGGACGTAAGTGAATTTGTTCTCTGAAATTTCATATCCTATTGTATATTTTATGATATGATTTGACCTGGCAAAGAACATACTGAAATCAATTGACAACACTTGAAATGGGATTATGTCTGCTGATCTACGTTTCTGAAAATTCAGATCTTTTTCCACTTTCCGTAAAAATTTTTTTCTTCTCCGTTATATCTATGCTTTCATAGAACACAACAGTGTATCGTAAGCGATATCCCGATTTCGTCGTNGGCATCAAATTATTCGTAAGAAAATGATCTTCAACAAGAAGCCGATGAGCCACCCCCTTTCCATTTGAAAAAATCAAGTTAACTGGAAAAATTCATATTTGCGACTGTGAAATAATTCTTAAAACGACTGTGAAATTATAAGCCCCAAAGTCGTAGTTTTCCCATGTTACTTGATCAAGAATGAAGCGATTGACACGATCCATGACATTCTAGATCAAAATATTAAAATTGGAATAAAAATTATTTATTTGTCAAAAATTGACAAGTTAAGTATTGTTGGATTCAGAATGTCATTCTCGATCGAAATAAGTAAAAATATATAGTATGTCCCATTTAAAAATCGAAAGTTGGGGTCATTTCCGATCAAATCGGAAGAACGGAAAAGCAAGTAAATATGTCAAAAAAATTAAATTGAACTATAACACACAACCCCTAAAATTTAGTTTTTCTATCTCCAATAATAAAAGGGTTATAGGGGTGAGCCACCTTAGAGAATACAGTAACTACTACTATTAACTCCTGCTCATGAATACACAGCACAAATGTTCAGTTAGTTCTAGGCAATTATAGAGAATATAAGATGAAGTTACATATTATGGAGCATCTGAAAGTTTCACTGATATTTAGAAAACAACGTAAAATTTGATTTCATTTGAGCTGGACAAACACTCAACGACTCTACTGTAACTGTTCAAAAAAAACTGAATCTTCCATTGAAGACTTCAGACATTGAACTGAGAAGATGGGAGACGTTAGATTGAGTCCTGGAGTTCATTAGAGTTCAAGGTGTACTGAGTTGAATCTCAAAACGATGAGCAGCCACAATCCGTCGCGTATTTCTGATATGCACCGCTCTTGGTGATATCAAATGTGCCAAGTCACTTGAACACTTTTCGTGAAAGTACCTACAGAAGAGAGACAAATCTCCAACCTTAAGGTTGCAGCTGATGTTCGCGTCTTCAATCAAATGGATGACCCTTTTCAGAATGGAATTCAGCAGCTTCGGGGTATGCTTAGGGACGGAGCTACATACATGAAAACAATAATCCAAAGAAGTTTTTACAAGAGCAAGAGCAAGAAAAACCTGAAAGAACGTTTCCTACAAATGGTCGTTGTGGCATATCTTTCGAATACGTTCACCGTCAAGGCTGGTGTTCCCAAGGAATCCATATTTGTCTTCAACCCTATTTTAATTCTATATCAACGAGTTATTGGAAAAAAACAAGAATCCAATATATTCCTTTGCTGACGACAGTACACTTGTCGCGTCATTCTATTTGGATTCCAGGACATACGCTACGGAGTCACATCATCATAGGCAGTAGGAGACTGCATATATTAATTAGGATCTTAGAAGTGATTTCGAATTGAGATGAAAGTAGCCAGGTTCCATTCAATGCCACAAAAACCCAGGCATCGGTTTTCTCCAAGAAATGAATGTCTCCGAACCTGATATAATAATGTCAGGCAAAACAATTTCGCTTTCTGCTTCAATGAGTTTGTTGGGGATTAAAATGGACACCAATATGTCTTGCCACAATCATGTCACTGGAGTTTCAAAGGCTGCTTTTCGAAAGCTTGGAACACGAAACAGAAAATTGTATACACCTCAGCAACTTTTGAGGCTTTATAAAGCTCAGATCAGACCTTCTTTGGAGTATCGTTCTCATGTATGGAGCTCTGCCCCCAAACATACCCTGAGGTTGCTGAATTCCATCTAGAAAAAAACAACAGCCTGATTGTAGACGGAAACGTCAAGTGCAACCTTGATAGCCTGAAACATCGAAAAAAGGTTGGAGATTTGTCTCTCTTCTATAGATACTTTCACGGAAAGTGTTCAAGTGACTTGACACATTTGATTTCACCGAAAGCGGTGCATATCAGAAATACGCGATGGACTATGGCTGCTCATCGTTTTGAGATCCAACTCAATACACTTTGAACTTCACTGTTTTAGAACTCTTTTATCTAGAGAACTGCGTTTATGTGGAATAAACTTCCTGAAAACGTTTTTTCAAATGGATTCAATCTCCAGCGATTCAAATCCAATGTGAATCGCTACTTTTGAACAAGTACCGCTCTGAGAGCGCTTTGGGGATTTTTCTGTAGTGCTTGTGTTTTTTGTAAAAAAAAAATCCAGATGAGCAATTGATTGAGGGTAGCCTCTATTGAGAGGTTTTACTGTATCATAATTTTCCAGGATTTTCCTATTGTACGCATCTCCTAGTACTTTTTCGTCCATTATGGTCCATAAAATTCAATAGTTCTTTCATCAAGTTAGCAGAGTCTAACTAACAAGGGTTCTATATTCTGCCGCTTGTGCAAAAAATTTAATTTAAGCTATATTCCATACGTTCTGATTATCATTCAGACTAAAGAATGAAAGTAAGGATCAAATCTAACCGTATTGTGGTGGTCAAGAGGAAGTAAGAAACATTTAAGTGAAGAACAATCCATGACGAAATCGGGATATCGCTTACGATACACTGTTGTGTTCTATGAAAGTATAGATATAACGGAGAAGAAAAATATTTTTACGGAAAGTGGAAAAAGATCTGAATTTTCAGAAACGTAGATCAGCAGACATAGTCCCATTTCAAGTGTTGTCAATTGATTTCAGTATGTTCTTTGCCAGGTCAAATCATATCATAAAATATACAATAGGATATGAAATTTCAGAGAACAAATTCACTTACGTCCACGTGAACGCCTTCCACTTCATACCAGTTGGCTTGCGGTCGTGATTTGGGGACGAACCTGTAGAACTCTTCATGCTCTTTGTACCATTTGACAGCATACAGGGTATCGTTTCCTAAGTCGTAATCACACTGCAGCATGGCTGTTTCGCCTGGCATTCGATACTGAGGAACATTCACTCTAACCCACTTTTGACCGATGTTGGCAGAAAACGCTGTAAAAAATTCATTTTTCATTGAGGATCTCAGATCAGAATTATATAATCATTTTGAAAAAGTTTTTTCAACGAAAATAATGAAAGCATTGTACCTGTGAACCTGTAATCCCAAAAATAATAAAATGATGTGCAAGTCATAGACTAATTCGGAAAA